GATTAGTGACGATGTGTTAATGTTTTTTCAATATATTTCTCTTCTTCCCTTAGGTTTTCTGGGCTGCATATGCTGAGAGCTCTGAGGTAGAATCCTATGACTAAACCTGATTTGACTTTTTGACTGTGGTGGAAACAGATATTAATTAGGTCGTTTTCGTTAGTTGGTTTACGGTAAACTTTAAAAGATTATTTGTTATTGTTACGTATTAACAAGATATCGAGGAAAGATAGAGATTTGTTTATTCCAAATTCATGCGTGAATGTAATGTAGGTCCAACCTCATTGTTTCATTTTTAAGTCTAAATATTTATATTACGAGGATATAATAAAAAACGTCATCTTATATATCTTAGGTAAGTAGAGCTTTTACTTACGATGTGTTTAAAAAAATGAACTGGATTCTAAATATTCTAGGAAAAGATAAGCAAGGACACCACTAAGTGACTCCATAGGTGAGCTGAATTTTTGCTTATATAATTTTTTTATTTCAAGAGAAAAAGTAGTGGTTAGTGATTAGTTTACATAGTTTTATAATATTACTAGACTACCTGTGACCCGTTGGGTCAACCTTGTTGTATTTACCGTCTACATTTAGTTTTATGAAGAGTTTGTGAAAGTAGAGATATTTTAAAAATACATTTATTTGCAGTTATTGAAATTGCTTTCAACATTAAAAAAACATTGTCTATTTGAAAAAAGTTGAACAATAAGAGCTTGTAATGTCCAAATTTGGAGTGTTGGGATTTGATACAAAAACAAAATATTGTTGTGGGGCTGCGCGTAATTCAGCCATTTAGAATAATCAAATGATTTTCATTGAAAGAATAAAATTCAGTAGAAAAGACAACATTGTTTAAACAAATGAACATTAATATAACGACAAGAATACAAGCAATTGGTCATAGATTGGAAAGTAATCTCTTTTTGTTTGGGTTAATAAAATTCTGAAATAAAATATGAATTCTCTTTGTGTACGTATGTGAGAAAGAATGAAATGTTGTTATATGTGTGTTTGTATGAAAAAGTTGACACGTGTGTGTGTGGTTCATAGTAAAGAGGATGCAAGAGATAGAATTTGTTCCTTACTGTGGACAGTGTTGCCGGAGTCTGAAGCGGTCTTTTGAAGTTTGTCAGCGCTGTCGCTTTTAGCATGAGGTCGTGAAGTTCACAAACGAGAGTGGTGTGGACCTTGATGACAGCTGTATGTATCCTGTTTAGGGTCGGATTTCGTGTTTTATACACATTCTCGTAAGAAAATCAGCTCCATCCCCCACTTCCTACACGGTAGTAAATTTACATCTTTCTTTTCCCAATTCTATATATAACTTGTTTATATCTTTCTTTTCCCCACTCTCTATATATGACCTCTGGCAAACACACAGGATACAACGTTCACAGAGTTTTATATAGTAATAAGATGAACAGGTAGTGGAAACTTTTCTTTGGAATTTTCAAGGCAATTTCTTAATATGTTAAAGCAATTTGTGACGGGTATATTTGGGTATAGTGATTTGATATCTAATCTAACCATAAAATTGTTTTCCATCTTTATAGTTCGCATCCTTTGGATTAACTCACTAGAGTGTTTAACGTGTTGGGTTGACGGTGCCTAAGAACGGAGTTAGGATTTTTGCAATAACTTTAGCTGATTTCGAATACAATGGGGTCTAATAGGTATGTTACGCTTTGTGTTTTTATGGTAAGCTGTATAGTGTGGGCGTAGTAGGGTGATATTATATTAATCTAGTCCAGGATTTATTTTCATTTTTAATAGTTTCTTAACTGTTTTGTTGAATTTTTTGTATGTCTTTACTGTTTGTTCGTTGGCCTATATATAAATGCTGTTGTGGGATCTTCCACAACAAACCAGCCTTACCTCTTTTTAGGAAATGCACTCTTCCTATCTGGTAAGTAACATCCTACTTTCATACAAATATAACAAGTATTCATTGGTCAATCACCTCCAATCTAGCTTGTTGATTGGTCAGTTCCGACCAATCAAACCGCCTGCACGCGACCAATCTGTTTTCCCGCTCATATGCTAGGAGCCTCATGACCATTATATAAACCCAAAACGTGTAAACTTAGTCGAGTAGTTTTTCTTTTCATTCATCTTTCTCGCACGTCTCATTCCTTGCTACCAAGTGCCAAGATGTAACCTTCAAGAACTCCCGTCTTGCTGGCCAGACGTTAAAGACAATTACCAACATTCACAAACTCTGAAATCACTTCTGAACTTTTACCAACTTTAGAACTCACAATTCCAAACCATATTCTTCTAAATTACATGTTTAATATTACTTCTTCTTAATATGAACTCAGGTACAACAATTACCTTAATCAAAGGGACACGACTCTGTCCTACCTTTTCAGTTCGCATGCATGTAAATCAAACATTAATAAATCTAACTGTTATGTTTTTAAATCATTCCGTTCAGTTTTGTATTTTATACTATGTGCTATTTACGTCAAATATAAATTGCATTGCGTTCACGCATTGTCCTTAATCCCACCTTTCCTAGCCAAAGTTAAAAATTGGTAACTCAATCACTACAATAATGATAACCGCGACATTCGTCATTCGACGTTCACAACAACAATGGTAATACAGCCGCTACATATTTGGCGATCCCGTCGGAAATAAACAACAATGGTAACCCCTATTGCTACACTGTCTTCATTTAAAAGCGATCCTAATTTGTCAGTGTAATCGTTGGTATCCATTAAAACTGTTCCACCGCCTTTATCGGATTGGGTTGTGATAATGTTTTTATTCCTGCATAAGTTTTTTTTTAATGCCAGTAAATATCTCCTGAGCAAAGTAGTTTCATCCGTATTTGTAAAGATGGCTGCTAAGATGAAACCTCTTTCAAATTCAGTGTGGTCGAATTTATAGGTTTTAGTTAATGTTGTAATTTTCTTCATTCCGTGTCAAATTTTAAGCCAAGACTTAAAGCCCCCATTTCAGTGATAGAAAGTTTCATGTCAGAAATGTTGTAGATAAGATTTAGTTTACCGATCCCTTTCCATCTACTGTGGGTGCATAGGTTGTCAACCTTAGTAAGTGGAAGAAGTGTCTTCAAGATGACCAGAAGTGGTCAATGACAATGACTGTATGTCATTGTCGGAGTTAACTCCTCCTTCAGTTCGTTAACCCTTTCACCAGGGGTCTCTCTTCCCTGGCTATAAATAGCCGCTGACCCTTCGCCTCTATCTCTCTTTTTTCCTTCAGACCTGTGCGCCGACACCTTGAGGTAAATCTCTCTTTTTCCTCAGGCTTTCAGCTATCAACCTCGAAATGACAAGGGATAGCGTGGATACACGCTCAGCACAATACACGCGCACGCACATACAGGATATTCACATACACTTCATCTTTTGTATTGTTTCCATGTATTATAACTTGTTATTAATATATATTTGTATATACATATATTATCGGTCTTGTGTTTTGTTTGCTTTCTTTGCCTTCTTCTTTGGACTTAATCAAAGTCCAACCTTTTTATGTAGTTGGGCCCGGCGAGCAGGAGAATCTGAACATGCGTTTCCTACATGCGTTTCTTCTACGTCTGACTTCACAACATCACAGCCACGGCCCTCTACATCATCTCTCCTAAATCATCATTAACTCTTTTTTCTACTTTTGAACGATTTCATGTCTGACGACAATCCAAAGAAGTCTTCAACCTTAACCGTTGAAGCATGGAATTGGTCTGTGATGATTTGTCCAACCATATCATGGACATTTTGTGATCTCTTTCTATCTACTGCCGATGCATAAGTTGTTAAGCTTGTGTTTTTTTTAAACGAATTCTCCGTTGTTTATATATGATGTCGTTTGTAGCAAGCTCTCTGTTTTTTGGAGTTAGAAAAGATGTTTTCATTGCGTAGCGTTTTGCCAATTGGTGCAGCCTTGTCATTAGTGAGTTTTTCATTTGAGTCCTTTTGCGTATGTAGTCATGTATGTGTTTGGGGAAGATACCTGTTGTGGCCTTCAGTACTTTATAAGAGCTTTTGGGAATTATATTACATCGCCAACCTTTACTGAAGCCATTTTTAAAGAATCTAACGTATGTTTATCTAAAACAAACGGTGGGTAAGTAAAAACGTCCCCAAATCAACATGCGGAAAACCAACAAACATTCCGCTCGCATCCAAGCATCGGGATTGTCATCATCTCTCTTTATTCTCTTTCTCCACCCACTGAAACTGGCTACCAGTGGCGATTCTACGGAGGGTCAGAAGGGGCCAATGCTACCCCCCCCCCCAGAATTTTGGTTGGGTGCTCGATTGCCTCCCACCCACTTTTCTAAGTTTTTGTAGAAGAAAAAAATCAGAGCAAACAAATTACACTGTTCTGCTGTTATTGATGTTAGTATTAATCCTTTTATTTTGTTTTGAAGTCAACCCCTCTTGTGGTCCAACGGCTTGAGAGTGGAAAAGAGGGCAAGAATAGATTAGAATTCCACTTCTATGAATGAAAAGTTATTCTGTTTAATTTAGTGAAGTAACGTACTTATACTAAAACTCATTCCTAAGTTGTGTATACGAGAGTGGTGTAGTATGAAAATAAAGACGCAGCTTGAATTTGCCCCTCCCATCTTCCACAGAAGCATCTCCGCCCCTAAGTAGCTCCTCCCCACCACTTTCAGTGTTCTAGAATCACCACTGCTGGTTACTTCTGTAGAGTCGCGAGAAGCAGTTACAGAACAGTGTAGGTGATAGACGCTGCTCCTAACAGCACGTTGCAGATCCTCTTCATGTTAACGGTTGGACACGAAAGTCTCCCCCACCACACACCGAATGGTTCTAATCCAGGAAGGTCGATTTGCAGCAACGGTTTTCCAAGTCACAGGGTCGATGTTGGCCTGGGTCAAGGATACCTTTAAAAGATTCTTGAAGCATCATTTTGGACCTCCGCGTAGCCTCTTGCTGCTGGTGAGTTCTCTAAACAGGATGATACGTGGGAGCCGAGTGGGATCTTTTCTATTAATTCATTCCCAAATATTAATTCACCCCAGAATAAAAAGAATTTATATTTATTAAAATTCACACCAAATTCTCCCATAATGAGGCACTTCCATTGCACTCCGGTTCGGTTGACCGTTGTGATCGCCCCAAATGTGGGCGACTCGGGTGCGCTTTTTCTCAGTGTAGGCTTTGAATTTACTCTCATCCCGATAAACAAGCCAAAAACCGACTTTTTCTTTTTTTTATTAATTGTCAAAAATTCCTTGTAAGTATCATCCACACTTACAAAATGTAAACAATTTCCTGATTTTTGGCAATTTTTCATTCTGAGGGTAGGAGTTGTTGCGAGATTTTGATTTAAAATTCATAATCTCGAAAGAGTGCCAAAAATTTAATAAAAAAACAAACAGACTTTGATTTAAAATTTATAATTTCTTGAGATGAATTAATATCTACGATAAATAACTTCACATTATTTAGGGTGAATTAACAGAAAAGCTCCGGGACGCATTCTGTACACGTGGCCCGCCCAGCGGAGGCGATGTTGAAAGATGGTAGCTGGGAAGAGATGCCCGAGAGAGGACCCCATTGTTGGTGATGCGGTCCTCCCAACTGATGCGAAGGATTCTACGGAGTTTCGTTTGTTGGAACCGCTCCAGATGCGTACTGAAGTGGAGAGAGGACCAAGGACAGGAAGACCAAGATTTTGGTTCTTCTGGTGAGGCCATGATCATTTCGGACTTAGTGTAAGCCGCTTTGATCCTGTTGTCAAGGTTTCTCCTGCATGTGGCATTATTCGAGATGAAGCTGCCAGGGTAGGGAAATTCATCGACGACTTCTATCAGCTGCCCGTCGATGTTGATGCTAACGTCTGATGTTGCTTGTCCGTCGGTGGGAGGGGGCTTGATGGGGCCTCGTTGTACAGATTTACTGATCTCTGAAGGTTAATGACAGTCTGGTTTGAAGTTGCATTGTTGTCAGCATACTGGAATTCTCGCACGCGAGAACAAAGTCGGGCGTGGTTGAAGAGTCCGTCGTCGAATCTGTATCGGATGTCAATGCCAGAGCTGCAAACATTATGTCTACTACACACACACACACACACACACACCTGATGCCCAAATAGACAAACTAGATTTTTATACACTTACATAGATATATTACAATACAGACAAATCTCTTATCAGCAGACTAATAGGGATCCGTTAAAGCCGATTGTCCGTAGGTGTGAAGGGATTATTTTTTAATTATAAAACCACTATAGTAACTGCCATGTCATGACTATAATGTAAATACTATAAACATATATAGGGCATAAATATTTATTTATATACTTTATATAGATATATTAATCAAAATAACAAAAATAATAGGTCTCTCACAGCTAATTTCTCACGCACGCGCTAATGTATCGTACTTTATATACTGTACACCCGTCTTTGTTTACAATTGAAAACCCCGCCACCGCCGCTAATCGGTCACTTTGAGAACTAATACGACTCGTTCCGGTAAGCTAGCAAATGTTGAAATACATCGCTGACAATTTGGAAGTTTTTTTCCTGCAGATTTTTTTTTTTGTATTTTGCCTGCATATTGTGTCCATTTCATTCGAAGTCCGTTGATTGGGGGGGGGGGTCCGTAGATGAGAGGTTTGTCAGTATTTATGGTTTTTCAGGTAGCCTTAGAATCCGTCAATCTCTTAAAACTTCGAATGAATTCAGAAAGCTACAAATTATCTCGTATTCAAGAATTGAATCTCTTCTTTGCCGATGATGACGAAATTCGCCGCCAACGTGCACATTCAAGACTAGAAGCTTCCAGTTCCACCAAAACCTGCTGCCGTCATTCATTCCCTATCGCCCGTTTGGTTTTGCAAGTGCTGGTTGGAGGTGAAGGAAAATCAGAGTAAAAGAAAGTACCCATAGCGTCATTTTTTTTAAGGTGGACCTAAACTTACCCGGAAGTGACGTACACTCTTGATTTCTTAATCTTTCTTTCTCTGTGCCACATATGAAATGTAATATGAAGAATCCAGTTATGAAACTGCAACGGACTGCCGCTGAGTTTATTGTATTTTTGAATGGCACCTTCTGTAGCATGTCCATCATGAGTAGTCCTCTTTATCCGCTGGTTAAACAGTTGAGATCTGTGTTATCAACATCTACTTGTTTCACTGTTGGGGTCATTTGGGTTTATCGCGTTTAGTCTGGGTTATCGTCTTCGACTTTGCCGCCACGAGTGGCCCTACCAGGAGTTTAGAAGTTCCGACGGCATCACTCTCAGAGACATTGGACCACGCAAGCCCCGCACCACAAGGAGAAACCATAAACGCATAAGCACACATTTATATTTTACACTGGATGTCGGAGTGAACAGTTCGTCATCAAATGTACTAACGTTGGTTTAAAAGATTCGAATGCACGTGATACATGATTGACCAATGAAAATCAAACAACACAAAAGTAAACACACCAGAATTTCTTTCTCCTTTTTATCCATATCTCAGTTTCTGACGAAGCTTTAATAAAAGTGGAAAAAATGTTAGATTGATAAACGTTTCCTATTTCTTCTTTAACTTATCATTCTCTCGGATTCCGATCCATAATTGATCTATATTTGATTCTAAACTCATGCACGGTGGAGTAGTGGATAGTGGCTTGAATTGAGGAATCGGAGAGCCGAGTTCGAATTCCAGTCGAATCCATTACATTCACTTACGTGCGAATACGCTTGAAAAGGGTATGAATCCTTTTCTTCTCCCTCTATGGGTAAATAGCAGGTCAGGCTGGGTTCTATAGCCTTGGATGGCAACTGGTCTAGGAGAAGGACAAATCGGAATTCAAAAACTGTGGAGGGTCGTTTGGGGGATCTTGTGGCATGTAATGCATCAGGTCTCTGTATTTTGTGCTTCAAAAAAGCGTGGTTGGTTTTGCACAAAGCCTTCACCAGTATAATCAAATCATATGTGCTGGTGTCTGGACTGTCGGTTCCTAGGAATTGAGTTGCTTGACCCTCATACGCCGAATACAATGGTAGTGTCGAATATATATATATATATATATATATATATATATATATATATATATATATATGTGTGTGTGTGTGTGTGTGTGTGTGTGTGTTAGAGAGAGAGAATATAATATATAATTTTTTATATATCAGAACAAAACACACTCACTGTATACGTCATTCATCGTAATGAATCTGATCATCGTTTCAATTTTAAAAATGCTTCTTTAATTAAAAGACAAAATGATTTACTAAGTTGAAAATGTATAGAAAGTGCACTAATTTCCGTGTCTTCCATAGTAAATTTGCGTCCAGATTCTTATAATACCTTTCTTAACAAATCTGCCACAAAAACAGCCACACTAAAAGACAAAGACAAAAATATTGGGAAACCAAATTAGATCACGTACGTCTAGGCATATTGGACACCATAAATGTTAAAATTTATAATTGAACACTTAGAGTCGATACTTCTTCAGTGTTTAATTTTGGTGTATAATTATAACTGATGTTTATTGTCATGGATATGTAAGATTGATATCTGTCTATATTTCTGACATGAGGTATTTTAACTATTACATTCTTTGGACTGTTGTCCTCATCTTTATTGTCACATTCACAACTTTTCAGCTGTTGTATGCTCTGGCCTTCTTCAAGTGATATATGTTGGAATTTAGAACTGAACCCTTTATTTCATCCACCGGGGTAGATTGTTCTAGTTCTACATGCCATGCCTCTTCCAGATCTCTCAGTTTCAGATATTTCCCTTTAGTAACTCAACTCTCCAAGTGGTTGCTCACCTCTGCTGTGGTCAGGTATTGAACTCAAAACTCTTTGGTTCAAGTCATTGGATTACTTCAACCAATGCTTTTATCCACTGGGCCATGTGTCCTTGGGGACAATGTGACAATAAACATGATGACAACTGTCCAAACAATATAATTACTGCAAAAATCCCTGTTTGCTGAGAAAATGAGTCATCACATAACCTCTCAAATTTATGGCTCTCAAGACTACTGGTATCTTTGTAATAGAGTACTAAATGCAATGTCTCTATTCCCACCTCCTCAATTGATTTGTAGTGTTATAATCTTCTGCTGATAAATCTGAATTCTTTGCTCGTAAATTCTCCATGTGGACCTGATGGTATCCCTATTAGTAATTAAGATGTGTGCTTCTGAACTAGCTCTTGTTTTCTCTAAACTGTAGAATAAATGCCTCACTGCCTCTTGCTTTCTGAAAGTCATCATCTGTTGTTCCATTTTTTAAGAACTCTGGTGAACCATTTTATCCATTTAACTATCAGCTCTTTAGCTTTCTGTCTTTTGGGGGGAAACTCCAAGAGGCCCTAATCAATGCTGAATTGGTTTGTCATCTTTCATCACAGGACCTTTTTTAGATAAGCAATACGCCTTTCATTTCACCAGATCAACTAATGATAATTGCGGAAAGAGTCTATCATGCTTTGTATAAAAACCAGTGAAGCCTGGGTTGTAGCACTAGACATTTCAAAAGCCTTTGACAGGTTCTGGCATTCAGGTCTTCTCCACAAGCTGAAAAACTATGGTATCTCTGGGTACATTTTTGAGCTGATCCAGTCGTTCCTATCAAATTGTGAAACTAAAGTTGCCCTGAGTGGCCACCCTTTTGTACTAATGCAGATGTCCCCCAGGGCTCTACCCTTGGTCCTACGCTGTTTTTAATTTTTATTAACGACCTTCTTGATGACATCAGCTCTCAACTTGGCATCTATGCTGACAACACTACTACTTACTCCTGGTATCAATAGTAAGGCTGATCAGCCAGACAAGGTCAAAATGGCAACTGATATACAAAATGATCTCAATTCTGTCATTAATTGGAGCAAAAGATAGCTTTGTCAATTTGAATGCCCCCAAAACTAAACTTTTCTTCCTTAATCATCTGATAGACCCTTCTCTGTCTTCAATCAGTATGACTGATGCTAACCTCCAGGAAAATGACTCATTTTGCCTTCTCACGCTAATGTACTCAACTGACATAAGGTGGAAAGACGACATTGAATCTATAGATCAGCTAGTAACAAATTCAGTTAAATATCTCATGTGAGACAACTTTTCCCTCTGGAATCTATCTTGCATATCTATGTCTACCATTCATCCATGCTTAGAATATTGCTGCCATACATGGTCAGGTGCCCCTGCTATTTTCCTGGAGCTCCTTGATAAGATCCAAAGAATAATCAGCAATATTATTGGTCTTGATCTGCCAGCTCAGCTTCAATCACTTGCCCACTACTGTAAGGTTGCCTCTCTGTGCCTTTTTTTATAAATAATTGATGGTAATTGTTCAAATGAGCTATTTGCTATGGTACCTAGACTGTATGAATTTAAGTGCAATACTAGACTGGTAGCAACATCTCATCTATTTACAATTGAACTAGCAAGTTACTTTTCTCACACTTCTCACTTGTGTAACTCCATTCTGGCTCCTTGCTTTCCAACCGACTTTAATCTGCAAAAATTTAAATGCAATGTCAATTGTTATCTACTGTCCTCCTGATTGCTCTTTTCTCTTTCTCCTCATTACTAATGTTTCTGTTTAAATGAGTGGTTTGACAAAGTTCTTACTCATCTTGCCCACTTTTGGTCAGTCATTGTGACAAGCCAGTGACAAGACATTTTGTCAAAAACATGCAGTGAGATGACAGAATGCAGAAGGTAATGGATTCCTATTTTAC